CTTTGTTTCTATTTTAAAACCCTCTCAGTTCTTCTAACTCTAAACTCTTGGCCTAAATACTAACCCAAACACTTTTTAACCTCTTCACACAATCTAACACAATCATACGCATATTCGAAAAAGCATTCAATAACACAAAATTTAGTGAAAGATTTACTTATAAATGATTGGCTTGAGTGAAGATTAAAATACATGGTTTGAGGAGAAGGTTGAACAACAACAAATTTCCATTGTGTGGTAGGTTGGGGCTCAGATGCACCACAGAGAGAGACATTATCAATTAGTACTTAGAAAATGTTGTTAAGCATGACCAATGTGAATGAATGCCATATGACCGAAATAGAGTGACAGGGCACGTGACAGTTTTTGACTAGTCAATCACATTTTGCAGTAAGACAAGTGATTAAACAATTTCTCCAAATAATGTAATATTAATGATGAAGTACTCCATATGATGCGATGTATAGGTCCAATTCCTAACCTAACATATAAAATAAATGATTGTTGTTGAAAGTCTTATATATTTAATGGCGTGTCTTTTGATAGGATATAAAGGCACTTGTACCTGTTATAAGATGACAAGTGTCATGTTGTGATTTGTTGAGTTAGTTAGATTGCTTAGTCGAGAAGATTACAATGTAACAACACATAAGAATCGTGTAGGCAGTAATTCATTCATTAAGTCGAACCAAGAAAATGACACTTTTTCCCTCATCTTCAAATTCAAACCAAGTGGCAATCTCCGTAATAACCTGCCGATCCGAGCCTGAAAGTCCACTACCATCCACTCCCTACCAGCGCTATAAAATCGTCTCTATTTCCCATCCCTCTCTCACTTCAAAAATCAAAACACAAACCACTACGAAGTCCCAACTAAACAATCCACCCTCTCTCTCTCTCTCTCTCTCTCCTGCTCTAAAACCCTATCGCCCTCCATCTCTCTGCCTCTCTCTTAGGCCGAACCCCCAATCACCTAGAATGGGAAATGGAGATATAGGAGCTAAGGCCAGTCAATCGGAACCTCAATCAAACATTAGGTTACCTTCTTCTCTAGGCCGGAGGAGTGAAGATTAGAGGACAATTGCGGAGGTTGAAGGCCCTCGCGACGTTTCTTCTGGAGGCTTTCTTCTCTGCGGTTCTTCCTGATCTCCACCATGTTGTCCTCCCTCCGCCGACGACCCTCCTCCGCGTCAATGAAACTAAGAATCTGAAACCCTAAGAGAGAAGCAGAGAGATGGAGGGCGATAGGGTTTGGTCTCCCCTTTTCTTTTCTTTTTTTCTTCAGTTCTGGCCTCTTTCATCCCCATCCTACCAGCTTCATCGCCGATAGCCCAACAACTACAAAATTGAATTCGCCCCATCCTTCCCAACACCCCATCAACTCGAACCCGCCTATTTCAAAAAATAAATTATCTGCTTCTATGTCTGCAAATTCAAAAACAAAAAAAATAATAATTTGAAAACAGAGAATGAATTCAATCCAGCACAGGAATTTTCTCTTTGTGCCTAATGTTGTATCCGGTTAGAGAGAGAGAAAGAGGGCGGATGGGATCTGGCTGGGGTGGTAGTGGGCATCGGGGAGGAGCATGAGAACATGATCCCGAGAGAGATTGTGGTGAGGTTGTGGAGTCGCCGCTGGGTCTGGGGATGATGCAGTGCTCCATATATACATCGTTTGTGCTGTGATGATGGTGAGTATGGATGGTAATGGTGGTTATGGAAGAGAGAGGAGGGGATTGGGTTTGATTGGGAAGAAGGGAAACAGAGGTTCTAGAGAGAGAAAAAGAAAAGTTGTTGTTGGTTTTTTTATTTTTATTAATATTTTATTCAACTTGTGTTTTAAAAAGATTATTTTATTCTTTTTTTACGGCCATTTGGATGGAATTGGGGAAAACCTAACGGCAGGGGTGAAATTAGCGATTAAATTTAATACGAATGCTAAATTGGCTGAAAAAAAAATTCAGGGTGGACATTTCAACAAGCCAAATAGTCCAGGGGGGTTTTAGACCCTTTACCCTTATCAGTAAGAAACAGAAATAGAAAACAAAATCTTTTTCTTCAATTCTCTCAGATTCTTCTCATTCTCTTTAATGTTTTCATGGTATCACAAGCCACAAGGCTAACGCTTCTTCTTCTTTGATCTTGATTCCGCTGTCGTATTCTCTCTTCATTCTTGATCCTTCTTCTTCGATCTTGTCCCCAATTTCTTGCAATTTCTTAGATTTCTCAGAAATTCTTGATTACAATGGTGACTGCTTCTCAGTTAGTTCTTGCTCAATCTCCGATTTCTTCTTTAATTCCTACTGTTGGTAATACAGTGACTGTCAAACTCGATGATACGAACTTCGTTACCTGGAATTTCCAAATGGAGCTTTTGCTTCGCGGTCATGGCGTTCTAGGGTTTGTTGATGGTTCTATGCCCTGTCCTGCTCAATTCACTAGTGCTGCTGAAAATCGCACTGTCTCTGATGCCTATCAGGTTTGGAAAATCCATGATAATGCCTTGATGATCTTAATTACTGCTACTTTGTCCTCCTCTGCAATTTCCTATGTCATTGGTAGTCAAAGTTCTCGTGACATGTGGCTCAATCTCAAGGAACGATTTGCAAGCATATCTCGAACAAGTATTTTCCAGATGAAAACCAATCTTCAGAATATTAAGAAGGGCCCTGAGTCTATTGATCAATATCTTCAGAAGATCAAGGATTCCAGGGATCAACTTTCTGCTGTTGGTGTCGACATCTCTGATGAAGATATCATGATTCTTACTCTCAAAGGTTTACCTGCTGAGTACAATACTATTAAGGCCGTGATTCGTGGTCGGGAGAGTGTTTTATCAATGAAAGAACTTCGTTTTCAACTTAAGGCTGAGGAATCTACTCTTGAAGAAACGGCTCGACAAATTCCTTTGCTTTCAGCTATGGCTGTCATGCCAAATGCTGCAGGTTCTGTGCCTTCTCCTGTGCCACCTCAATCTGTGTCATATTCTCCCAATTCATCTTCTGGATTTCGTGGTTCATCTTTTCGAGATCGTGGTAGAGGTCGTCTATCCTATAATACTTTTCAAAGATTTCCTGGTAAGAATGGTAATTACAATAATTCAAGTGGGATTCTTGGCTGGCCTCAACATGTTCCTCCATTCTCTGGTTCATATTCTGTGCCTACTTGTCAAATTTGCAACAAAAGAGGACATATTGCAGCAACTTGCAATTATCGATCTACCTCATCTCAATCTGCTGATATTGAACCTTGTCAAATTTGTTGGAAAAGGAATCACACTGCCCTCACTTGTCACTTTCGAGATAGTTATGCTTCTCCTTCCCCTCAGATGAGTGCCATGTCTGCTCAAACATCTCCTTCTCAAGAAGTTTGGATTGCAGATTCTGGGGCTACCAACCATATGACTGCAGATATCTTTGCTTTGTCTACACCTGCTTCTTATCCTAATGCTAATACTATCACAGCTGCTAATGGAGCAGGTCTCAATATTGCTCACATTGGAGCCTCTATTCTTCCTACTACAAGTCATGTTTTTCAACTTAATTCAGTTCTTCATGTTCCTCAGTTATCTACTGGTTTATTATATGTCAATCAATTATGCAAAGAAAATAATTGCCGATGTATCTTTGATGCCACTTGCTTATATATACAGGACATAGCTATAGGGAAACTTCTGTACAAAGGACTGAGCAGTAATGGTCTTTATCCTATGCCTCGTCCTCTTAATCACGCTGCTTCTTCTGCTGCCTTGCTTGGACAGAAGGTCACTTCAGATCTTTGGCATTGCAGACTTGGACATCCTACAAAC